TTGAAGGGCTTCCACTTTGCTCAAAAGAAATGCAATTATGGCACATATTTGAAAGCGATATGAGAGGTGGCCAAGCCCCAGAAAAGCTGCATCCTTTTCAGGTAGCACATCAGAATTCCTTAGTGCATTTTATGAGGTGAGGAGAGATAAACTGTGGTGGGAGGGCAGGGAGAGAGAAAGGTATTTGGAAATACTGGCCAAAATCCCCCAGTTGAAGTGATCGCCTAAATGCTATTACAGCCAAGGAGTTTTATTATCACTGGTATTTATTACCTGTTACTTGGCATAATGTCATCCCAAAAAAGCATACAGTCCCTGCCCATATATCTTACTGTCTAAATGAAGAGATCAAGAAGACAAGTAGAAAAAGATGGAGCAAAGAGACTTGACGGCTCTTGGCCACATCCTGAGTACACAACGTGCGGGAACGTCTGTGCATCAAGACAGAAAGACTCCCTGCTCTCACCTTTATGGGGCAGCTAGGTTTTCAAGGATTTTGAAAACCGGGACCACGCAGAATGATTTGTATGACATGACTTGCATTGGGATTAGATCAGAAAAGGCAACTGTGCAAAGTATTAGACAGAAATGCATGTGTACGTACATTTCAGAGCAAACTGGCTATAGCGCTGTGTCTGTCCCACACTCACCTAGCAGGGTAGAACAGAATACCACATTTTCATTCCTACTGAGACCCTTCCCAGCTGCCAGAGACCATTGATTAATGGTTTGCATAAGGAGGCAGGACAGAGATTTTATAAGCACCACACATTCAGAATTGTGCATAACAATCCAGTGTATTGAAAAGAAACACTTCTTACTGCCACCATTTGATGGACAGTGAACAATATCGCTCCATTCCAAATTACCAAAATAAATCATCAGAAACTGCTGCATTTAGCCTCAATAATAAGAATCTCTGGATCGATAATTTAAGGTTCACTTCAGTTATTTAGCAAGTTAAAAGGTTTCTTACAAAAATGTGCAAGCCTCTAGACTCACTGAAGCTCTGAGAAAACCCAGATTTTCTTCTGGTACATCCTGTGCAGTATCAGTTTATCAGACACTATCAAGAAAGAGCTTTTAATTTTCCTGGTCTCCAGATTTCTGCTCAGATTGGGAATATATGCTACTTATAACACATGCATTTCCTTATCTGCCTCTGCAACGGTATGCACATTCTACCTCATTTTTAATTTGAGGTACAAATGACAGGGTTTATGATAATTCAATTTAATTAAAAAATAGTTTCACAAAATTGGGGGTTTTGCCAAAGCAGTATTTTCTATCAGAAAACTATACACAATTTTTCAGCCAGTTCTAATTTCAACTTGATTAGGGCAACGGAATTACACAAGTCACAGGGCAATTTTTACTCATATTGCTCATTATCTCAGAGTAGCAGTATCAATAGTTAAGACTTGCACAGCTCTAATAACAAAATAAATAGACACAAAGAGGAAAAACCCCACAATCCCTCCCTTAATTAAATATTTCCAAATATCGCACTCCTCTGAGTCTCTCACAGAAAAAGAGACTACGTGATACAGCTATGTATATAGGCATATAATGAGAAGAATGTGCATATTTATCTGATGTAAAAGATATTGTATTGCATCAGGTCTATATCAAAGCCACTCAAAGCAGTTCTTAATATTCTTACTGTGCCTGCCTGGAAAACAGTACAAACAGTAAGAGTGCTTACCTCTATTTTGTTTTCAATGTAATCCCATATGCCAAGGACCACAATCCTCAAAATAGTCTAGTAAAATAGATTAAGAGGAAAAAAAGATGATTCATGTTATTGTAATTTTAGATAAGCATTTAGTCCTTTATCTATTTAGGGGATCATTTTTTGTCTTATTTAAGCATTATGCCTTTCTTCTGAATAATAATGAGGATCTAGAAATAGCTACACTTCTGTATTACAAAAGCAGGTACTGCTTTCCAACCACTATATTGATTCAGTGAAACTTCCATAAACAAGTTCCAAGTTCAAATGCTCATCAGTCTTTCCATCCTCCTAAAATTTCTCTTTCAGACTGGTGAGATTTAGGTTACCAACAATCCCCACTCCCCTGACCCAAGCATATATAAGATCCACTGTGGGGCCCCCTCAGTTGGAATGGAGGAAGATTCTGGTTTCCTGCCATCTTTGATATGCCAGCGCTTACTATGTTCTAAGAAAAGAGGCACTCCCTCCTCTTGATGCCTAAACATACTGACATTTCATCAATCAAGAGCAGAGGCTCTTACTCCCCATCTCTGGAGTACAGGGCTGTTGTCTTATTATCAAATCCCAGAAAGTCATAGGATAAGGGAGAAAAATATCTCTGTGATCCTCCTCTATTGAGCCAAACAACTATAAGTAGCATCAGTAGCTAGAAAAGAGGAATAAAAAAAGAACACAGAATGAACCAATGGTGAATTCCCATTAAAAAATCCAATGGCATATTTCCTAATTTTTAACCTGGCTTTCAGAAGATGCAATAAAAAAAATTATAAAAAATAAAATCAATCAGCCAACTAATGATTGAAATTGAATTCATATAAAAGCGTAACTGGTAGGGATATTTTCTGCCAACAGCAACATCAAGGTCTGATGTTGACAGACACTACAGACACGAAGAGTCTAACTGCAGCTGTCTGCCTTGCAAAGAAGATCAAAATGCTCCTTCATCCATTAAAGAACAGTGCTAATGACAGAGAGTGCGGCAGGCCTATGTGCGAGGGGTGACCATGGCAAGAACTGTGCAGAAAAAAGTGACTGTCATGAATATATGTATCTCCTCTTCATTACAAATACAAATATATTAAATCCCAACCAACTCCGAATCTATGCCAAATGTATCAGCACTAACTAATTGCAGAACACCACTGCATTTTTCAGTACTGTTTCTATGCGTCGTTTTGCCAGACCCCCTGAGCCCAATGCCTCACTTGGTCCGGGATGACTGTGCTGAGCTCTATCTTGGCACTCCAAACCTGGATAACAGCACTTAATCCTGTTTTGCAGAGGGAGACAATGCTGTGGGAGATATGGTGCATTCAGAGCCCAGCCTCATACCATCCATGAGCAGTAAAGTGAACCAGCCAACGCTTACTCAGAAATGGCGTATGTGGAGCACCAGCCAGGTCTGGCTGAGAAAGGGAGTCACTAGCCAGAAGAGAAAATGCAGCACTGTCTTTCCTCTACAAAAAATTACAAGACTCTACGTAGACACCAAGAACCGCTATTGCTGCTGCTCTGTACTTCTAGAAAGAACATTTTACTTCCAAAGCATTTTACAAATGCAGTATAGGAATAAGGCTATTCACAGCAATTTCCTTATTAGCCTATATGCTCAAGGTTTATATCTGGAGGAAGAGCTGCACAAAAGCAGCTCCTCAAATCCATTCATTACTCCAAATTCACCAGCATGATGTGATGTGATGTAAGCGCAAGGTGTAAGTACACAAGCTGCTGCACAACCAAGGCACTCCTACAGCCTCAAATCAGGCCCTGAGCAGAATATATTCAGACAAAAGCATCCCAGCTCCTCTGTAAGCACCTCCTTCACTCCCCATTGAGAAGCTGCACAAAATGCTTAAGTACAAGTTACTCATGAGCCCATAGATTCAGCTATATTAGTTAATCTGGGGTCCACCACAGCAAACTCCACAACAGGCAACCATCGGGAAACGGATGAGGAAAAGCAGTGCCTTCTTTAACGCTTGGGATGCTACCCTTCCCACAGCAACCCTGCTGACAGCGTAGAGAAATCTGGCTCATTTTCTTCTGCGCTTAGGTAGCATTTATGAAGTGCTAGGTCAATGAGCAACTAACTACAGGACGGCTGAACACTTAAGACGTTTACAGTAACTGATGGTGAAAACCCTTCTTCCTTTAGACAGATGCGTACAAAGGTATTTTCATGGAAATAATAAGGCGTATCTGCAGAAAGAAAACAGAAACAGTGTCTCACAACCCTAAATATGATTTAACATGAGGCTGTTGAGGAAACATAAAAAAGGATGTTCTTTCTGCCTTTTTAATTCCTCACTGCCGGTGTTTAAATCAGACTGTGCTACTGTCATATTAATGGGGCTGAGCAGTTCCAAGGGCTGGAAGCTAGCACAAATTTTTGATTTTCAGTCTGCTGGTGTGAATCAGCACAAGTCAGCAATGACTGGAAGTCTACTTGGCAGACACTTAACGCGGTAATGCTTGTTGGTACTACCTTTAGAAGACAGGTCTCCTCCTCACAGAAAAATGCCTTGACAATTAACATCTTTGCTCTCAGCTAGAGCAGACACACTCTGAGAAGGGAGAGTGAGGGCAGAATGAACCCAGCTCCTGTCTGAGAGACACACTCTTCAGAACAAACTGGGCACAACCGAGGGTTAAGCTTTAAAAACGTTTGTTCTGTATGGAAGGTCTTACAAGCTATGCACCAGCATTGTCACTTAACAAAAAAACCCATATCACCACTGAAGCAGCAAAAGCCATGTAAGGCAGCTTTTCCTTGGTGCCCTGGGGGAATGAGGCGCCCCAAGAAAGCACCATGAGTGAGGCACAGACCGTATGCACCTGGAGACACAGGTGCCGTACGCTTACTGCCCACTGGCCAGCCTTCCCTAGTGGCAACTCCAAACTAGGTTTAGCTTTCTCTACTCTCCCTCTATTTGTATAAAGCATGAGATCACATCCACTGCTGCTGCCATGACTCTTACCCAAGGAGTGTGAACCAAGCAAATTTGGACTTCATTGGGCAAATCTCCCTTACTGTTCAATATCATAACAAACACTTTGACTGAAACAAAAGCATTGGTGTTACTCATAAACAACATTTTAGTATTTTTCCTAAGCAATCAAAAATATCTTTCAAACGAATACATATAGCATTTGTGTACTTTCTCTGTACAGAACTTAAAAAATTAGAACCTGCAGCAGAATCTGGAAAAAAACAGAGACAGAAATTAATAATCCAGGAAACTTCCTAGGCACTGTACACGGATCAAACTGAAAAATGTATATGAATTAAAAGAGAATTGCAGCTGTAACATCCATCACAGACAAAACATTAATGTTAGTCATGACTCTACCATTTGTAGACACAAGAATCTACAAGAAATAGGGAAAAATGGAGCAGTACTGCTGTTTCCTACTGATGTGCAGGCATTTTTCAGCACTGTAGCAAATGCACACACATAGTTTTGCATTACACTACAGGCATTCTGCATTTTTGGACACAGAGATTTGAAAGCAAACATTAAACATCAATGCGAGTACTTTTCTGTTCAAAGCCACTGACAGCTTAGGGTTTTGTACTTGAAAAAGAATGCTTTAATTTTTCTTGACTCGAAATCTTTGAATTAGAAAGTCTTTAACGTACTTTTTTTAGTTATATCAGAAATACATTTTTTATTTTCTGAGTGCACTAATAAAAGGTAAACCATCGAACGCTTCTGTTAACTGAAGCTGGAGTAAACCCAGATAGAAGTAAAATTTTCAACCATTTTCCAGACAGAAACGTAATTTTGAAGTTGACAGTGTCCCTTGGTGATGTACAGTTGTTTGCACAGCATTAACCATCTGCAGTGAACTTTATGAAGAGCTGTGTGATGCTGCAGGTTTTCTCTCTAATTTCATAGGGAAACCTGGCCAAGCCCTTTGCTGAACCAGCCATGTGAATTCCCACAATCTGCATGAGCTAGCTACGTTTGTCAGCTGACTGCGATGTACATTAGGTAGTTTTAAATACTCTTTTGCTTGCACAGTTAATATACAATTTACTACTCAGTGATTCATTGTGCCAAATTCATCCATAGTGTAAAGAAATCAAAAGGAGGCAGGACGGGAGGTGAAGCTGGCCCACCGGGAACACTCTGTACCCAATCTGTAATTGATAAACCTCTCTGGTTTGGGTCACTCCGCAGAGGAGTTCATTCCTAGTTCATTCACTACTTAAAAGAATCTTCTTTTGCCACCTTCTGGTGCGCCTGTCCTGAGATATTGCAGCAGCTGTTCCAGTGCACGCTATCCCCGGGCCACCAGAGCACAGAGGAACATGTTAGCATCTTTAAACTGAGATATCGTTCTGTTTCCAGTGCATAGGCATCTGCCTCACACGGTTTCTCTTCAGTAAAGGCTCTGAAAGGAAATGTGTAACTACTGACCTCGCCTCACATACTACCCAGTACAGCACACTCCCCATGTACTGTACTTTGTAACTGCTGTGCTCACATAGAAATAATTAACTGCAAAAGCTTGGTGACACTAATAGACATGAGCGCAGTACATCTTTTTTCAATGACTACCGCTAATACTATTATGATATCATATAGTATCCAAATGCATCTTTGCATAAACACTGCAGTTATACTTGTTCTTATGTTCTCCTGTAATACTTGTTCTTAGAATATAGAGAAAATTAATGAATTTTAAACTGAAAATTCTGGAGATATTTGAAAGAGCTCTTCAGGAATAGAAATGGCTTGCTAGAGACACAGTGTACTACTGTAAGGTAAGTGCAGATTGGATAGAAAACTGGTCTCAAGCAACCCTGCATCAGAAGTTCCCTCTGGGCATGATCACACTAGTGCTGATTCTGATCTTTGAAATGCATTGTGTAGAAGGTGCTGGACTGTCACTATCAAGAGATGAAAGCACTGATAGAGCACACCATGTAAGACAGATGTATTCTTGGAAATGAAATGGGCAGACTGGCATTACAGGAAGGTGTCTAGCTAAATTCCTAGACCTCTTCAAAACCATTTTCCCCAGTAACTACTTTTTTTGTGAAGCAAGAAAAGTGGTTAGAAAAGAAATTTCACAGTATATTAAATATTTAATTTTTACACACTAGCAAAGAAGGAAGCTTAAATTTACCTTTAGAAATTATATTAGTATATACAATCCATATCTTTGTTCCTAGATCCTCCCTAATCAACCCCCTTACAAATCAAAACACACAGAGCCAGCAATGCCCTGTGTTTATGCACCATGAGAAAAGTTGAGTGTACAGAGAATGAAAGTAAACATCCAGAAAAGAAGCCACAGTTTATGGAAGAATTACAGAATTAATAGAAGATTATTATCTTTCTGCTCAGCTGTTTAAAGCTCACAAAAACGTAACAAAAGTATCATAACTAATTTCTCTAATATAAAATTATGAATTTGTTATGAAAAATATTTATTGGAAAGACATTATTTTCTCTTAGTTCTGCCACTTGGGATGTTTTTCCTTTTTAACAGAATCCTAATATAGTAGGGTCTTCCTTAAGAGGTTTTATTCCTTCCAAGGATTACTATTAACAAGGAGTAAAGTATCAGACTACTAGGAACACTTTCTTTTAACATATATGATGAGGAAAGTCTTGGTTTGGTTTTTTTTTTCCCCTCCTAAAAGTGAAAATCTAAAATGTACTTGTGAGCCATAGCTAATGAAACAAATTATTATCAGCTAAGACCCCAGACTTAGTCTACTCAATTTGAGAACTCATTTCTTGGATACAGATGCAAGAAAAAAAAGTCCCAATTCCGTGATTGCTTAACTTTAAGCGCATCAGAAGACTTGGTTACTCCCAGGGAAACACTCAAGCGCTGAAAGTTAGCAGAATGCCTGAGTGCTTGGCTGACTGAAGCACATACAGAGCAATGCGAACAACTAATATCAAAGAACTCCATTCTTGCACGCAAACAGTCTCATCAACCTTAGTGGAAAAGCAGAACTGAACAACAGCTACAGAATCAAATATTTGTGGCAATGTGATACGACTATTAAAATACAAGCAGACTCCAATCCACTTACCAAAACACTGTGACATTCCCCATCTTCCTTTTCTCAGCCAACTATTACCAAGGCTGAATTTGCCCTCTTGATAGGGTGTAACCCCGGCCTTGCCTTGCTGTTGGTACTGGGGTTTCCCCCCCAGTGTCTTTCTCTTCTCTTCTGTCTTAACATCTGGGTAACATTTGGTGCACAGACAAATCATAGTGATGTATGTAAACAGAGACAAACATACACAATCATCACCACTAGTAAATCCTGTTCAAATACTTGGAAAAAAGCAAAAAGAGCTGATGTGCACTTCACTTGAATAAGGATATTTTAATCTTGGGAAGTCACAGACAGTGACAAGGAATATAAAATTAACAGAGTGCAATACATTCCTTTAAGGCTTGTGGCTATAACACAAGTGTAGAGAGAGCACGAATATGCTGTGACAGTAGCTATTAATTTTCTTGGCAGCTGTTCTGCTGGCATTTGCCAGCTGCTGGCATGTTCGTCCCCTTCCTTTTAACCAAGCAGAGAGCCAGTGCGTGTTTAACTCCAACATGATAGGACTGTAATTACTTGCAACGCCTTTATAGAACCAGCTTTTAATCAGTTATATTCTTCCAAAACATTCAGATTTTGTGCTGAAAGTTTTCTGGATTTTAACAAGTCTTTTCCAACTTTCGATTATTTGTTCTCTAAGTTTGAGAGGAGGCCTTTCTGAAGCATTACGTGTCCATACATACAACTAATGGGAACCAAACTACAGAATAAACAATAAACATCCAAACTTAGGATTTGGTACTTGCTATGGAAACAACCCTTTCTGAACACCAGAAACCCTGAATCCTTGCTTTGAGGAAAAAGGTACTGACCGAAGGACTAATCAATCCTCAGCAGTTGCCTGTTATACCCAAGCAAACTAATTAAACCTGTTCATCTCTGGAAAATCATCCTGGCATGAATAGTCACACACTGCAAAACCTGTAACACACAATCATCTCAACAAATAATTCCAAACAAAGACAGCTGACTCATGGTATTGAGAATCAGAGGGCAAAACATCCCCCGAAGGCAACAAAAGTATAAATAAAATTAAGACGGATGAAGAAAACCAACGTGATCCGCAATTTTTGCAGTATTTTGTAACCTCTTGAAAAAACAAAATTTTTATTTTGATGAGAAAAAACTAAACCCTCTGTTTTTCCTCTGATAAGAAGCATTTCAACACAAACAGATGTGCTGCGGCTCATTAAATCAGCCTGGCACAAGGCCAACCCCAGCAAACCCAGTAGGAAAGGTACACCTTCATTCTCTTCCAGATCTGTGGTCTTTGAAGTACATCAAGGTGATCTGTGGGGGCACCTCTGTTGCTTTAACCTAGTCAAGGACTCTGAGCTGCCAAATGAACCAATATACAAAAATCTACCCTCCTCTGTGCTCCTTACATGGCTGCCTTGTGGCCTCTTTGTGTAAATTCAAACCATAATGAGATAGGTGAAGGAAGATACTTTGGAAGACAGAAAGTGAGTAGTAAGAGACTTACAAAAAAATGAGAACAACAAGTAGACAAAGACAAGTAGTTCCAAAACTTAATCCAGAGAGAGAAGGGGGAAAGCCAACACAGATCCAAAATGAGGATGGCAAGTCAGGCAACTAGTTTCGGCTCTCTGAAGTATTTCTGTTACTGTTTTCCTGCAAAACACTTCTGAACCAGTTCACGCACTTATGTGGGTACTCTGCCTCAGTAGAACTGAAACAACTCATTTCTTCCTTGGCCTTGAGGATCTGTCTGCACTGCCACCACCAACCAAAAACTGTCAGCGTATGACCTGAACTGTGGAAGGGATACAGGAGCAAGGCACTGCATCAGGGTTTGAGAAGAGCGGATGAAAAAAGAACTTGAGACTGTGTCCCAGCAGAAGGAAATTAAGGACCACAAGTGAAGTTTTTTGTGAAACAAGCTCCACAAAGCTATGGAGATCAGGTGAGTGTACATGTGCAGCCATGCTGCTAGCAACAGAGTTACGAGCTGGTCCTGTTGGGAAGCTCAGGATTACAGGGAGCTCCAGGGTTCTAATCCCCACTGAAGAAAGATTCTGGAGGAGAGGGAAAGTATTTCTTTACAGGGAACGAACTCCATCTAGCAAACCTGAGCCTTTGAGAACTAGGATGTGCAATTCACAAAGGAAAGACTCTGCAAATATTTTTAATTGTTTAGAGATTTTTTTTCAGTCAGTTTACCTCTGTCCTACAAGCCACAATCACCACCAAAAGACGGGGATAGTAACCGTATCTATTTGTGTAACTGCAGCACCAGAAGGCTAGGATGCAAAGCAGCCTTGAGACCCCTGCCTCTCATCAAGGAATCCTGTCAGAACTGACAGTCGAGTAACACCATCTAGAAAATCCCTGTTAGGAGTAGAAATACAAAGTGATATACAGAAAGAAATGCATTTAATTAATAGAACCATGGAAATAAGCAGTGGTATAATACAGTGAGTATGAATTCCACACAAGTGATCTATCAAATCATTTACAGATATCAGAGCTCAGTGGTTTTTGATTTTTTTTTTTTTCCAAACTTCGCCTAAATTTACCACAGAGTGAAGACTTTAACATCTGTTCGGATTATGATATTTTCTCCTCTGGAACTAGAAAAAATATTTTAAAACATTTAAGTCCAAGCTGTCTTCCAACTTAACAAACATAAAATGGGGTTTTTTTGTGACAAATAACACATTATGACTCAGAAAAATAGTCTTAAAAATATTTTGGGATATTTCAGGAGTAGTCTAAATGTCTCAATTCCAATGACTTCTTTTTGGAATAAAGTTGAAAGCTGTAACAGATTATCCCAATTTGGTCATTTGTTATATCATAACTACAGTCTTTTCCAATGCATACATTCATACAAATTTTTGCAAAGAAATTCACCATTTGTTTCATTCTCTTAACTGTGTCTATATACAGCAACCTAGAACATCTAAACTACCTACACAAATTGTGAGAGGAGAATTCCATTCTTAAAACAGATCTTTTTGTAAAAAAAAAAAACAAAACAAAACCTGTGGATCTTTATTCCTGAAGAATATATCTTATTCTTATACCTTATACTCAGTGACACCAATAAGATTTCTGTGAGAACGGATGAAACTAGTCCTGTCCTGTGCCTGTAGTGCTTCAGAGATGACTGTTTCTTTCTGTAGTTTTCCAATTATAATTTGTAAAACAGTATCTTCCATGTTTCCTTGCCAACTCTAGGCAACTGACAAACTGCTAATCTAAATGAGATTTTTTAGTGTGTTCAGTATGAGTTTTTTCTGTTTTTTTCTTTAAGTACACTGTGCTACATTTATTTACAGTCAAATTACTGTTAAACTCTTGCTAATTCAAATGACAGCATAAAAATACTTTGTAGTTCTGTATGGGGTGAAAGACTTTGATTATACATACCTCTGAAAAGAAAACAGACAGGATGACTAGGCTGATCCAGTGAATTATTCCTGCAAATTGTGAAGCACTTGAAACTGCAATTAACACAATACAATGAAGCATCATTATAGTAGCAGAATGCAACTTAGCTTTAATATAATTAGTACTGCTACAACTTACAAATGGCTGAAGCTTGCTTTCTTGAATTTTGTAATGGAAGTACCAGAAGGGGGATGGGATGTAATGGGACAGGGAACTCCAGCCCTGCCAGCTGCTCACCCTAATTCAGGCCAGCACGTTAGCAGCCACAGCAGCCCTTCATTGGAGCTTTTACAGATAAGACTGCTGGTAAGCACTGACATACACGTTTTAGATCTTTGATGCCCTGTCACTGCTCCATGCTCTCACTCAATGCACTGCTTTAGTACAAGTGTGTGAGTAAATCCTGTATACCTAAAAAATCCAGAGTTAGAATTCTGTAAGGAAACAGAATGCTCTACTATCCCCCCTTTATTCCTTGTATTCAGTCTTTCACTATTCAGCTCAGAAGATCAGTAATTGTCTGGAACGGATGCTTAAAAACTAGTGCTCAAACTGGGCTTCAAAATGCGTTTCTATCATCTAAATAAATAACCTAAGTAGGTAGACTTTTGTACAGCTCTCCAGATTTGGCATGACCAGCCGTGACTGGCTCAGGATCCCATTCCTTTCAGTGAGGTTTGACTCTAGGAAAACCATAGTGAGAGAAGCAACAGAAAGAACCAGTGTCATTGTTAATTGTTAAGAAGATCAAATCTTAATATATTAATTTTAAGGAGTTGGTGAAATATCAGCAATTCTAATTTGTACAACAAACATAATGTGATTATTTTGGTACAGTCTACTTCAGGAAATGTGGCTGTCATATGGACAGCTTTGTCTTTAAGGAAGTTTCTATGAGAGCTCTCAAGAAAGTTACAGTAAATGAAATAAAATTCCAGTTTAAGTAATTGGCTAAAACACATGATTTCCTTTGTAAGCACTCTTTTTCAGAAAGACAGTAACCATTAAAATCACTTATGTTTACTTCATTTCAAACTCCTCCATGAAAAGAAGTCTGTAAAGGGTAAGTTAAAATGGTCATTTATAAAACTCTGGACTCTACACACTACCTTCCCATATAGGTACTCTTCACACATGCAGACTGTTGAGTAGTTATTCCACTTTCAAAGTGGAATGACTTTGAACAAAAGTCCTTTCAGGAACTGACTGGCAGGAACACTCAGGAAAACTTATCTGAATTCATTAGAAGTATGATTTTACAGAGTACTAAAGCCTTGCACAGACACTCAGTGGCGTTAAATCAGGCTTTCACTTGATTCAACTTACTTTGCTTCTAAGTAAATTGAAATAAACTCAGACAAATGAGTTAGCTGCAAGACTACGTAAGAAGCTGTATGATACGGGTTGTCTTTGTGGTCTAAAATGAATGTCTTGAAATCTGGAGGGTTCCCTAATAAGTAAGTTGAACTGAAATTCTGTGATCAAAGTTCCCTTCGTTGCTGACAAAACAAAGCAGAAAGTTGAAAGGGTTCAGTATCTGAACTGCTGGCAACTCCTACTCTGAAGGTCACATGCTCTCAAGTTTGGATTAAGTGAATGAAGAGAAAAAATTCTCTTTGCTTCAGGGTATCTGTGAATCTACCATTCCTACAGCAGACAGATTAAAATAGTCTGTGCAGTCTTGGAGTTTCAAGACTTAACGTGTAACAGCAAAGTTCAAGTATGTGCACAGCTGTCAATTGACATACAAGGCTCCAGCTGCCCCTTAGTGGACAAAAAAGATATAGCAATCACAAATTTGGAAAGAAAATCAATTGCTGCTGCTGCACTAACAGTAGCAGAGTGCTGGATGTGCTGCCAGACACTGTGCAATTAAATTGCCAGTAAACCAGTAAATTTTAAAAAGCCTTCCAAGCAGGAAGCTTTTGTACAAGAGCTGAATCACTTGCCCATACAGTGAATCTGGATACTTGCCTCTTCCAAAACACTCCCTTTCAAAAATGCAGTGAAAATCTACAAAACCGGGAGAAGAGTCCTCTCCAGGTGTTCACCCCTGCTCTGTGGTGGTTTGGATACATCACTGGGATTCGGTTTGAGGCAAAGCACCTAAGGTATTCCGTTTCTACTTTTATCTGGAACAGAATTTCACATTTGTTTTACTTGTAACCTTTTTCTTCCCCAAAATTGTAGCTAAAAGCCAAAAAGTTCTGGTTTATTTCACATTTTGCTTTTCTGGCAAATCCAGGATGCTTTTTAGTTGTGAAGATGGCTCTGTATAAAATGCAGAGTACAGCCGACCTCAGTCTATCTCTTCCTCCTTTCCCTCTCTTTCACATCTCCTCAAAATGCATATCCAGGAGGGGAGGGATGAAGAATACATCCTGACAAACCCTGACTGGCCGTTACAGAAGCTTGTACTACCAGCGCGTGTTTCGGTGGATGCTGTTCTTGATGATGACTTCTTGGCAGATACAAACTATACTGCTCCTGCAAGGCGCAGACAGCAGTCACTGCATAGTTTGGGCAAGCATTTTGCCCAACGTGCATTTTCTTTGCACGGCTACACACATACTCAGACAGGGCCCTGATCCAGCAACCAAATGGACAGAGTGGAGCTTTTCAGCTTCCAGTTTTCAGGAAGGCCTGATGCCTTTTACAGACACACTGGCTGTAGCTGATTGCTGGAGGAGGACAACACTAAGATGATTTCCTGAGCTGCTTTCCCCTAAAACGACTGAAGACAAGGAAGGGACAGCATGGTCTGTATTACTGAGTGGGGGTTGGAACCTGCCATGACCCTCTTTTTTTGAAATGAGGTTCAAGTGACTTAATATACATCTATTTCTGCATTTGCAAAACATCACAAGGTATTGAGATGTTATTTTGTTAATGCATGTGAAGAGCTTTCAAGATAGAACTAAAAAAGCTGATTATAGGACAGACATCTATAATAGGAGACCCATTATGTCCCCTGCTTTCTGGGGTTTCTAATTCTGGCATGAATATGCTTTGTGCTAAAATACCCTTAAAGGTCTCTGTCCTTTTTATGTGTGTGACCTACACGTTTGCAAACGTGGTCTCCATCACTGACACCGACAGTTTTGTGTATGGGAGAAGTACACAGTGGAAGCAAAGACTGAGGAGAGGAGAATGATGCTCTTAAAATGTTACAGCAAAAGAAAACATCTTTTTTTTTTTTTTTTCTTTTTTTTTAAAGGAAGCTTCCTAAGTAATTACAGTCTATAATGTGGATTAGCAGTTGTTATTATGAACAAAATTGGCAGTGATGCGCTGTAACATATTCTAATGCATCGGTTGATTTAATACACAATAAGGAATCATTTAAAACTGTAATTACATTTTTGAAAAACATAATTGTGGCCTAATGGCTTTTTAAAACCTTAAGGTGACACACATTCCTCATATGACACCTGCAATACTTACAGCAGCCCCTCCAAGACAGCCTTTATCTGATTTCAAACAAAACAGAAGGTAGTCAACTTAACAAAGGCAAGAAGCCTGATGGGTTGATGCATTAGTTAAAATGCAAAGTAGCAACAGAGAGCAGACTGAGGCTTTTCTCAGGTGCTCAGAAAAGTCATACAGGCAGGGGCAACCTCTGAACACTGAAATAACCTGGCTCGACCAAACACCTATAGGTCATCCACGAGGTGTAAGCTGCAGAGCTTTTAAAGAGTATCACATGCACTAGATACATAGAGGAGGGAGGATCCCTAAAATAAAGCCTTCCTTAGAAAATTATTCAGGAAATAACTGGTAAGAAAGCAGGTGCTTCCAGAGAAGAGTCTCCAAAACGGTGTTGTTAATCTTAGAGAAATCAACAGAAACAGTTTTTAGACTCCAGCTCTACAGGAAGTGACATTTCTCTACATGAACACAAGATGTGGCACCTCAGTAAATATTGTTGAAAGCTTCTTCCTCATTCAATTTTTAAGGACTTACACCCATAATTAGCATTCCTGACTTTTTTTTTGAAGGCAGCAGACTTGTCCAAATTCTGGGCTTCCTCATCCAAAATGGTAAATCACAAGAGTACAGAAAATAACAACTGTAACAGAGCGGCCATGTTCAGAACAGTGTGGGCACTATGGACAGACAGGGCTGTAAATGGTGGGCAATGGTGCGGAAAGACAGCTTTGTCATTTATTCATCTTACAGGGCTTGCAAAACAGCTGCAATTATCAATAGTCCCCTAAAGTAATCTTAATACAATTGCAATACCTAAATCTTTACAGTGAAATCTAACTCCACTAATATCAATTGACAAATCACAAAAATAAAAGGACTTCAACAGAATAAAAAGTTTGTTTGCTCAGTTTAAAGTTGCCATAGAAGGTACCTGACCATGACTCTCTCATGCTACGTATTCTTGCATTTATGGGATTGTCTGAACCCCATCAGTGCCTTTTTGACATATCTGAATTCTAAAGAGATGTTACAGGCATAGGGAAAAATGTAGCTGGTACTTGTATTCATGTCAACTTAGTATCATAAAAGAAAAAAAAAAAGAAAAGCAAAAAGGGGCAGAAGGAGGAAAAGAGGAATAGAAATAAAAAGATTAATTAGGAAGCAAAACAACAGCATTAAAATTTCCATTGTGGAACCTGCGTAAAGTGAATTCAGATAAAGCAAAACTCCATTTAAGCTATTGTTTGACTCCCAGTGTATTAGCAAAGGAGAATGAAAATCTCTATCATTTCAGTGAATTACAAGATAGAAATCTGTAATTTCAAATCCTACCCACCTCAGTAGAAGTAAATTAATAATAGAGATAGCACCAAATACCCTAGTAAGTTCATCACTTCTGTCTGTCCGCATAGTTGTGAAAAATACCAGAAATTAATGATGCACAAATGATCTTTCATGTATACAGAGTGCGTCTGTAAACGACAGACCTTTTCAAGTACTAATGACAATATATGCAGATCTCTGCATGTACACTCTGCCCATATCCTTTGAAAATTTGTCCTATACTGAATTTGGTCAGCTAAATAAGGAAGAGACTGACTTCACTATACCAGGGTTCCAAAAAAAACACCTTTCTTACCTAGCCTAGTAATCATTTAAATGGTAGGAAAAAAAAAAAAATCCCCACCATCCTCCCCCCTTCAAAACCTCCCAGCAAGTTAAGCCTTTATTTCATGAAAATTAAAAAAAAAAAAAAAAAAAAGAAAATTAAAAAATCCTCCTACTCACACTGGAGAAGCTTTATATCTATTAGGAGTTCCAGAGTCAGAAGAATCACCACCAATACTACACAGGCTACCAGGAAACCGTTGAGACTTGCACTGAGCAAAAATACCTGCCACACAGCTGCTCGTCTCCCACAGCACGGTTTTAGCCAGTTAGATCTAAGGAAATAAAATTAAGAGGAAAAACAAGAAAAGAAAAGAAGAAGAAGTGAAAAAGGAAGAGCGCTAAAGAACAGTGAACTCAAAATGACAAGTTCTGCTGTTACGGATACACTCAGCAATAATGTACAGACTTTGCAAAAATCACTCTTGGTTTCTTTACCAAGGTAAACACTTCATAAAAAACTTCACCCTGGGGATCCTGTGTGTCTCTCCAACCCTCTGGAGTGTACCATTGTTCACGTGCCTTCCAATGCACTAACACAACCCTAATTATCATACATACTTTTCTACTTTCTTCCTGTTTTACTATTTTTCATGTGTTTTTATTTTGACATACATGCTGCATTATCTGTGAGTACTAAGGCATAGCAGGATTCTGTTCTTAGCTTAGGTTAGAAGCTAATGATGTTTTTTTAAGAATTTCTCTGCTATTGAATGTTACGGTCATGCACCTTTATCCCTGTTCTAGTATGAGACAAATCAGACAAGAGCTGCCAAATCTGGTTTGCAGCAAGCAGTCCACGATATCACAGAAAAGAGCAATAGGAATCTGGAAAACACCAAAGAATAAACTCAGTGACTCCACAGCTACACCTATACTAGCATATATAGACAGCCTGGCAAAGTGTCAAGCAACTGGCCAAGGCTGTTGAGCTCATCTGTTTGTCTAACTCTCACCAATCTGTTTGTGGAGCAGGCCAAAAAGGACTTTCCCAGAGTTTGGGGTAGCACAGTTTTGGGGACAAGCATACACCAGGGACTGCTCCCAAACCTAGTTTAGATGAGGTCACCTTGTTTTGGAGGAAAAAGAAGGTTTAAGCAAGAGGAAGGAAGCTTTGAGGAGGCTATGAGAACCAGAACTTTGGAAGGAAGTTGATGAATCAGTAAGTGTTGCACTAGTATTGTGCTAATGCAGATACACATTTCCAAGAGGGGTATTAATTTTTTTTTTTCTTTTGAAAATATTTGTAATAGGAATAACAGTAGCATGGACTTCAGAAGCATAAAGCCCATCCTGATACTTTTTTTTCTCCTAATTTTACTTTGACACAGTATTGTGTCATTTCTTATCATAGTGTTTTGTAATGTTCTTGTACTGGCCCACCTCTGAAAGTTCTGACGCTTTACTGATACTTCGTATTTTCAAACCACTGTAAAGACACATTAGCTAATAAAGAGACAACATGATTTATTAACAAGGGTTTAAGAAGCTGCAAGCATACACAAGCGTGGTGCAGTAACCACACTGTCTGAATCAAAATATCAATACACAGAAATCAGTGGTATACAGGAAGGTATGATGATACTGATCAATTCCAAATAAACAGCTCTAGACTCAATAACTCATGTTACAATCAAACACTTGGACAAACATCATGAAACATTCCCTGACATACCCACTCTCAAAAATGAGGCAGAAAGTGATGCTACGCTAAGTGCTCAAAGACTTGACACTTTCAAGCAGCTTCTCAGAATCAAGTATATCAACTAAATACTTGTACTCAGATTGCCTGATTACCTGACTGCAAAATACCTCCTCAATTGACTCTTAAAACTTCAAAGAAGATTTGACAAGTGTTACTATCAGGAACTTGTCCTTAGTTTAACTTTGTTACAGTTCTAGGCTGCATACAGGATGCACTAGATTTTAAATAGGTATTTCTAAAACATAAGGAAAAAAAGGCATTGCGATAGGGCCTTTTTGCAAACTTGATCTTTTAATGGATTTTATTTTACATCATCTCAAAACAGAATAACTCATCTTTACAACAACTGTTATTTTGGGTTTGGGGGATTTTTTTTTTCTAGATCTTTCTAAAAATAATGCTAGGGAATGGCCCTGTTTAAATAGAACTGGATTTAGTTCTATCCTCTTCCTATATTTATCTTCCTTTTTCCAAAAAGACCGGTTTTGCCAGCATGTTAATACTGCAGGCATTTTCCTCTTTCCTATTCTCAACATGACCAGTAGAGGGCCTAAGTACATGCCTTTAAAAGGTCTATGTAGTCAAGATTTTCAAATATACCAAATGTACCAGTAAGAATAAATCAACTGTGATACTCAGCACACATTACATATAGCCATGATAACTGTTATTCAAGCTAATCATTACTCACAGAATGCTAAAGAATGTGGAGTTATTCTATCTGTGCAGTACTGATATTGCACTGATTCCAAAAAACTTCTGAATGAAACTATCAGTTTATGACTGGAAAAGCAATCAACTTAAGAGGTCAAGTGCAGATCATTTGCATGTTTACACCTATATATCACTTACAAAATATATAAATTGATTTCAAAGACACAAGAGTGTTTAAAAATTAAGCACTGAAAAACCACCTCCAGTTTCCTATCTTAATTTATTACACTAAGATGCATTTGTTCAATGCTTGTCCTGTGAACGGACAGTGATTAGCATCTTCACATCACTGCCTGGCAGACTTCGTCCCAGACTTCCTCCAAGTCCTCTGAATCCACTGACATAAACAATCATGATGAGCTCTAAAAGGAGCGCTGGATGGTTTCTTTTCTGGGTGCTGCTTAGCTAACTCATTCCCTGCTACCTCTACACTCCTGTGTAGTAGAGTCCTGATTTTGCCCTGGGTTGTTTTTTGGGGTTGAGGGGGTTTTTTTACTTCTTACTTCTTGCAAAGGATGGACATAAATAATAAAAGGAATTATACTCCAACTAGAAATATATTTTGGATAAACTTGTTGACATGCTAACCACACTGACTCCTAATACACAAATCTCATCTCCAACCCTGTAACCTTCGTAGAGTACTATCTCTCCCTACTGATATGTAAAGGCTCATCCATTCAACAGAGGAGAAATCTGGTATTTGAGAAAAACAAATCCCTACCAGAATTAGTGTGGGTTTAAACTCACCTTGGCCATTTCCCCTGCAATGCTGCAAAGCTACACTAAGTTTAAAGCTCAGATTAGAAACTCAGCTATACAAACTTTTCAGAAGAATAAAAGTTAACTTGCACCACTCATAAATTTATTAAGAGATTACATACTAACCATATACAAGTAAAACAACCTTTTCCCTCACTCCAGAAAAAACAACAACACCCCCCCCAACCCCCCCAAAACAACAACAACC